TACCTTTGGGCAAAAGTAGAAAGCCATTTATTCTCCCCCTAATAATGACTGTCCATTCATATCCAAGTAAGCCTTTCTGCATAGGTTGGCTAGCAAATTCCTCTCGCAGATGCTTGTTCAGGCACATTTGTGTTTGTTCAACACCCACAGAGCTCATCAGTGGCTTATACTGCAACTATGCTGAGCAGACCTTAGTTACAGTTTCTGGGCAAGAACACATTATCTTGCATTGTAAACAGTCTGAACAAGCCCAGTACACTCAAACCCTCAGTCACGATGACTTGTGACTTTGTGCTAGCATAACCATTGACAGCTCCTAAATAGTTTTATGTAGCCAATTTCACTCACAAGGCTTGGGTCAACCTGTGATATGGTTTTCAAGGATATTTGGAATATCTTTCAAGATACTGGAATCACCTCTCTATACCAATAACATCAAGAAGTGACTTTCCTGACAAATCAACCATGGTAAGATTTTAAAACACGGGTTTCATGCTCAGAAAGTGAATGTACTAACCACTCAGTCATGTCCCCTTAGCTACAGGTTAAATAACAAGTCAGACTGGGTTCTCTAACCTTAATTAGCAACTCGTATAAAAGAAGGGCAACTCTGAGTTTAAACCCAGCCTGAAGAAGGATGGGCACCATCAAGTAATATTACTGCCAACAACACAAATGATGTCTGTCCTGGGTATGACGATAAACTACATCCGCATCCTGGGTATGACGATAAACTACATCTGCGTCCTGGGTAACCCGATAAACTGCATCCAACAGCAAGGCCTTCAATCAGGAGGTTTTGAGGAGCATGAAACCACCTCTTAATTGCTGGTGTTCCCAGGTCCACCCTGACCTGGTGTGGTAGCACCTGTTAGGGACCCAGCTATGGGCAAATAGTTAACCTCAAAACTGGGGTAAAAACACTATGAAAATGTAAAAATAGGTTTTAATACCAGAAATACTTTGTAAAATATTATTACCAGCAATAAATTTTAGAAAAAAAAATATTACCAGCAATACATTTCCAGCTATACATTTTTGAGGAAAAAAAACATATTACCAGAAATAGATTTTTGACAAAACAAAATATTACCAGCAATAAAAAAATTGTCAGCATTAAATAACCCATTGTGGTTGATATGCCGTAAAACAAAACAAAACAAACCAAACCCAAATGATGTGTGTGCGTCTGTGCAAGAATGGTGTTAGACCATTCACATCTGTTTAAATTTCTAGCCTGACTTCTTGATAAAAGTGTTAAAAATATTTATTCTAATTCTTAAAGGTGGTCTGTGTTCTGGGACTATGCACTTCTGTAATGGTTAGGATTGGGATTATTTTGAAAAAGGTGTTTATTATTTAAACACCTGTACGTTCTGTTTGATAATGAAATTAACTTCTGTTTCTGACAGCAAAATCCATCTTTTTTTGTGATCAGAGTAAACTTTGCAACTGCAAGCAAAATTGCAAACAGCATTCAGAAAAAAAGATAAGCAAATTGTGTGCGAGTCAAAACATCTTTATACCAACTGGATTCCTTGCTCCCAACTGAGCCATACACCAAGACAATTTAATCAAATCTTATAAAATATGCACAACACATTTCAAAATTAGGGTAGGTTGATTTTTCACTAAACCAACATTGCAGTCAAGGTGAAAGCTGTGGTTTCAGGTGATAGGTACTGCCACTAAAAATTAGATTCATAGTTTTTACCAAATTTTTGAGCATTTAGTTTTAAAGATCATCTGAAAATATGTACAGAAATACCGAATTTCCGCAGATTTTTGCTTACAAACTGACTTCAGATTTTTACTATTCCAAGAATAAATCCAAACAAAGTTGATATCGTTTGTATTCGATGCATTGGAAGGAAAATATATCCAAACCAGAATTCTAATTATGAATCGCCACAAACAAAATATGCATTTTTTTTTTTTTATTGTAAGTAATAATAAAAAGTAAATATAAGTAAAAACAGTAAAAGAGTACAAAAAGGTCTACTCAATGAATAAGATTTGTTAGATCATAATTAATAAAAACAAAAAATAGATAAAAAGTGTATATAATACCATAATACTGCTGGGCACAAATTAAAAGACAAAATGTTTTAAATTTGCATTGTTTATTGATAATGACACTAAAACTACTACAATGTATAAAACATATTACATCCTAATATAGTTAAATTGTTCAGTGTAATTTCCCTTTGAAGTAAATGAAGGTCTTGTTTGATGGAAAAATGATTTAGTAATAATGTGCTTGTGCCATGTATCTGTAGGAGTTAGCTCCTCCTTAATTCCCTAATTGTCACTAGGGAGTCATTCTCCCTATACTATAAATACTAGGCAACTTCTCACCTCGTCCTCTTTCCTTCAGGCCTCGTGCCACATCCCACCTCGTGTGGAGGTGAGGTAAATCCTCTTTTTCATTTCTTCATTTCAGCGACTACAATGTAAGCTCTCAGAAAATCTGCGTCTTCCCATTTGTGGAAGACGCCATGAACATTATACACAAATACCCATACGTACAAACATTCAACAAAATACGAACATTCACCAAAGCACAGACACAAATGTTCACACACACACACACACACAAATATTATTGTTTATGTCCATTGTAAAATTGTTTTGTTTAATACATATATTTGTTTGTATATATATATATCGGTTTTGTTTGTCTTCTTTACATCTTCAGTTGGACTTAACTTGAGTCCGGCAATTTTCTTGTAGTTGGATCTTTTAATATTCTACCAGGAGTTACACGTGTTTCTAATACAACAACATGCAAACAAACACACACAGTCCTCTACACATCTTGTCTATATACAACTTGTTAAGCTTCAGAAAATTATAAATTTTATAAGGCTTTCACTGATCATTGGAATGAAATTGCAATGCTACGATTTTTATCCTAAACTTAATCTTTAAACTGGTTTCCTGGAAAAACGGTAACAATTTTGGAAAAAAAATATTTTGTGTCATTATTTATCATGTCAAACCCCAACATTCAAATTGAGTGCAATAGCATGCTTCCAAAATCAACCCCTGCCCTAATACTTATTGATACTTCTCACATCTTGGGTAGATTTCTTTGCATGCAATGACCACAATTACATTTTCGTCTCGGATTGCTTGATATCTCATATGTTTGAATCCGATACAAAAACATACCCAGGACTATATTTACCCATAGCTGGGACCCTAACATCTTGATAGAGGATATTAATCCTCAGTAACGTTTTCTCAGGTTATTTCCTTCTCTGTAAACCCGTTGGTCTTAGTGGATTTATTGCCTTCCTTGTTTAGTTGGATGACTATTTAGCGGCATATCAAGCTCTATCAGTTACTTAATGCCGAAATCTAAATATTTTCGACAGAATTTTATGGCTTCAACTAAATACATTTTGAACGTGATTGCATGCCTTCAACTACAGATAAAATGTATTGTTCGTCATTTTACATATAAAAATATATATTTTTATACTTTCATGCGGTTTTGTTTTGTGTTCCTTATTTGCCCATAGCTGGGACCCTAACAGATGCTACCACTTCGGGTCTGGGTGGATCTGGGAACAACAGCAATTAAGAGGCGATTCAATGCTCCTCAAAACCTCTAATCTCCCGATCAGAGGCTTTGCTGCCGGATGTAGTTTATCGTCACACCCAGGACAAGCTTTGCTTGGCTTAGTACTAGATCGATAGCTAGGTACCATTCTTTTACTGTCAAAATTACATTTGAACAAATATCTTAATATCAGTGTGTCTGCCATTCTTTCGTCATCTGTTGATCCAAATCACCTGCAGGGAATTTCAAATTGAACCCTTTATTTAATCTCCGGGGATAGATTGTTCTCGCCCTGATGATCCTACTCAGTAATAAGTCATCTTGTTCTCTTTTAGTAATACTTGATTATTGCTAGCTCCGTCCCCGCTAAGCTTGAATCAGTACTATCTCTCATAGGGATTGAACTCAAAGTGACTGCCACCAAATTCATAAAGCAACAGTTCTATCCTCTAGGCCAGCGGAAACATAACAACAACATAGATGATATTAGTCTGACTGCAAATAATGATAATTCCTCATCCCCTAAAGCCAAAACATAATAAAGTTGAGGATATTAGTCTGATTGTAAATAATGTAAATAATGATAATTCCTCATCCTAGAAAGCCGAAACGTTGTGATAATAACAACAAAGATGAGGATATTAGTCTGACTGTAAATAATGATAATTCCTCATCCCCTAAAGCCAAAACATTATAACAATATAGATGAGGATCTGATTGTAAATAATTCCTCATCCCAGAAAGCCAAAACGTGATAATAACAAAGATGAGGATATTAGTCTGATTGTAAATAATTCCTCATCCCAGAAAGCTAAAATCTGATAATAACAAAGATGAGGATATTAGTCTGACTGTAAATAATGAAAATCCTCATCCCAGAAAACTCCAGAAAATTATACATTTTATAAGGCTTTCACTGATCACTGGAATGAAATTGCAACACTACAATTTTTATCCTAAACTTAATCTTTAAACTGGTTTCCTGAAAAAAATGGTAGCAATTTGGAAAAAAATATTTTGTGTTGTTATTTATCACGTCAAATTCCAACTTTCAAATTGAGTGCAATACCATGCTTGCAAAATCCTTATTGCAATTTGTACCTAAAATCTCATTACAGACTTTAACAGAGAGCACCAATGTTTCTAATTTTTTATTTTTTTTTAACTCAAGTTTATCCAATGAAAGGCTCAAGAGGCTATAGGTGAAATAACAGGGCAAACTGATTTTCTAGCCTTGGGTGGCAACCAATCTAGAAAGAATTCAAAACTGGGAAAGGCATGAATCCATCTTTTCTGTCCTCAAGTCATGACGAAAATAGAAGAGCTCTCTAGCCTTGGTTGGTAACCAGTCTAGAGGAAAAATAAATCTGAATTTCAAAGGATTCAATAGGAAATCACTAAATTATCTTACTAAAGAAAAATCAAGATGGCTTATGGCCACATCACATTGAAACACCAGTTTCTGTATGATCACTGAAGTTAAGCAACATCAAGCCTGGTCAGTACCTAGATGGATGATCACCTCAGAATACTAGGTGTTGTAAGCTTGGATGTGCAGGTGGTGTAATGGATTATGGCTCGGAATCGTTAGTCAGACAGCTGAGTTTTAATCCCCCCCGGGAAAGGTATGGGTTAATTAACAAAACTTTTATCACTAAACCATTATTATCTCAAAAAAAAAAAAAAATTGAGTCCAAAATATTTAAATTTTAGAATTAAATAACCCATAGAGGTGTTGATATGCTGCTAAACGATAACAACCAACCAACAAACAAGACGATGCCCAGTTTACAGATATTAAAAGTGAAGCTGTAGAGAGTGGTGATTGCTTACATTTTGCGAGGACATGGCATTTAAAGAGGAGCGTTAAAAATCTTTGTAGTCTTATTGTTCACAATTTTCTATATTCAACTTTTCGTAAATCTTGTAAGAAAGAATATTGAATAAGAGAATGGTTTGGTTTGGTTTGGTTTACTTTGTTTTACAGCATATCAACCTCAGTGGGTTATTTAATACCGACAAAATTTTTTATTGCTGGTAATATTTTTTCCTTCAAAATTGTATTGCTGGTAATAATTTTTTTCAAAAATCTATTGCTGGTAATAGTTAACTATTTGCCCATAGTTGGGACCCTAACAGGTGCTACCACCCCCAGGTCAGGGTGGACCTGGGAACACCAGCAATTAAGAAGTGGTTCCATGCTCCTCAAATCCTCCTGATCAGAGGCCTTGCTGCTGGACGTAGTTTATTATCTTACCCAGGACACGGATGTAGTTTAATGTCTTAACCAGAATGATGAATAAGAGAAATGTGAAGAGATTTCTTGCTTGGACAAAATTTTGTTTACCCATGATTTTGTCTCAAATTTAGTAATATTCAATGAATGTTTTGTTGTACATGACACTTTCAAAAGCACCTGACCTGAGCATATGTCATTAGGCGTTTTTACTCCTTGGTATCTTCTTGGGGTGTCACAGGAATACAGACATACACCATTATCAAGTTTTGTGAAACATTTAGTTTCCCCTGTCAGTTCTTAAATTTTCTTCAAATTCTGAGTTGGAACCAAAAAAACAAAAAAAAAACATTTTAACTATTGTAAAAAAGGATAAAGAATTCCCATAGTATTTTTTTTCTTGATTGAAAAAAATGTATACCAGTAAAATTAAAGAGGTTTGTTTTCTTTTTTTCTTTTCAAGCTGTTGAAAAATTCAAAGAAATTTTCATTAAATTCTTTAAAACCATCTGTTAAATTTACATATTAGATAGTTAAATGTTGTATTAAAATGTCTGATAGGAAATTGCATCATTGATTTCAGCATTTATACATTTCTTGACCTTTTGAAAGTGTGTACAAAAATAAATTATCTTTATTAAGAGAAGCCATCTAATTCTGTCAGTTTCAAACCTCACATGTAGCACAGTTTTACCAAACAGATACTCATTTGGTTAAGTTTAAAGTTTTATTTAAAGTCTATCAACCATTTTGGGAAATGGTTAACATAAAGATGGTTTCATTCTAAGACTTACCCGAACAAAGATCTTACTATGATTTTCCAGTGAATTGTCTTAATCTTTGTAGCTATGAAAGAAACTGTTTCTGTAAGCTTCGATGTGCAGATGGTGTAATGGATAATGGCTCAGAATTGGAAATCAGAGAGCCAAGTTCCATTTCCAGTAGGGTTTGTTATGTTCACTTTCATGCAAATACTCTTGGGAAAGGTACAAATCCACTTCTCCCACAGCTATGGGTTAATTAGTAAAATTTGTATCACTAAATCATTATCTCAAAAAAATATTTTCTGGCTTTAAATAACCTGGAAAGAGTTGATAAACCATAGAAAAGGAGTGGATTAATAAAAATCAATAGAAACTGTTTAGTTAAAACACAACAAATGTTTCCAATGGAAGTTGCTTAACCATTTCGTAAAAACTAACGAAATTCTTAAATATTCTTGAACAAGAACAATCTATACCTATCATCTGAATAAAGTGTTCAGTATGAATTTCCTTGAAGGTTACTCTGATTAACAGACACTTGAACATCTATCAACTGAATATGTCAAATCATGTAACATCACATGACTTTCTGATGTAATGGAATAACCTGTCACCCCCATGAGTAACTATACTATAGGTAGTAACTTCCTATAAGTAGCTGTAAGTCAACAGACAACAGAGACTAGTCGAAATCTTTTTTGACTATACAGTCAAACTCTCTGCCTTTGGGCAGAGAGGAATACAGACAAGGCTCTGCTGAAGGGCAGTCTCTTGTTTGGAGAGGTTGACCAACCCAATCCCATTTATGCAGGTTCTACGGGGATTTTTTGGTCAAGCCTACAGGCTCGGAAGACCCACGTTAAACTCAGCCTTGTGCCATATCTACCCTCATGGGGGAGCTAGTAAATACCAACTAGCTGGGATGTGTTGAGTACGACTCAGACTTGTGCAAGAACTACCAACCTTCCAATAGTAACACTCATTACTGGATTGACTTGCGACGACCTTGTGTACAACTGTTACCTTTATTCTTATTGTACTGGTTTTTTACAATAAACCTTTACTTATTTTATCCACCTTGTTTTTCAAGTATATATTCCTATTAGCACGGAAGATAACACTTTTCAATTAGTATTTGTACCTTCTCTGAAATACCAGGTAAACACATAATCTGCTCCTTGGTCTAAACCAGCCTATTCAGCCACTATAGCATACAGGAATCAATTTTACCTACTGTACCAGCATGACTATTCCAGTTGCAGCAGACCAACAGATACCTATTTGTCTACTTATAATAATTGTAACTGTGTCCTCAAAGAGGCAGTCTTTGTTTGCTGATAGAATGAAGCACCATATAGCCTCTAATATCTTTAGTTCTCATGACTACTGGCTGTTGTGACTAATATGTTAAATAAGAGTAAATCTTCTATTCCTCTTCTCTCTTCACTCAATTTGAGGTGTTAACATCTACTGCTCATAAAGTAGAATGTTTTGTTTGTAAATTCTCTTCAAATTCTTCTCTTGATTCATCTGGAGTATTTTTGCCTGGCTTTCTACTTAGAACTGAGTTTCTATTAGGTCATATGTATTTAACTCCATCAATGATTTCTGCTATCATCTCTAAACTGGATCCTCCCCCTCAAAGCAGTAGACTTGATGGTGTATCTCTGCAACAGTCCTTAAGAAATGTGCTCCTGAACTGGCTGCTGTTCTTTCTAATCTCTACAATAAATTCCTTGCTGCTAATTCCTTCCCTCTTGAAAATCCTCTTCTGTTATTTCCCTCTTTAAGAACTCCGATGAACTGTCTAATCTTTCTTTCAGCCTATTAACCTCTAATCAATTCTGAAATGGTCATGCATCTCTCATCGCAGCGTCTTCTTTCAGGTAAACAATATGGCTTTTGCTTCTCAATGTCAGCTGCTGATGCATTAACAATTATTGCTGAAAGAGTCAATCAAGCTTTAGATAAGAATGGTGAAGCTGGGGATGTTGCTTTTGATATCTCAAAGACAATTGACAGAGTTTGGCATACTGGTCTTCTTCACAAGTTGAAATGTCATGGCATTATCTGGATTAATTTTTGATCTGATTATCTTTTTTATCAAATCCCAAAATGAAGGTGTCTTGAACAGCTTCACTTCTAGATATTTTTGCATGGTCGCAGTGTTGTCCTTGAGTTTATGTTGTTCTTCACCTTCTCGGTGTCAGCAGTTCTCAACTCTGTATCTATGCTGATGAACAACTATTTACTCCTATCTTAATGGTGCAATAAGCTCAAATTGGCAGCTGATCTAAAAAAAAAAAAAAATTGACTAAAAATCAGTTGTTAACTGGGGCAAGAAATTGCTTGTTAATTTTAACACCTTCAATAAAACTGCTCTCTGTTAATCATCTTACAGAAACCTCTTTGCCTTCCATCAGCATGGCTACTGCTAACCTCCACAAGAATGACTCATTGTGTCTTCTCAGGTTAAAGTTTTCTGCTAGCATGAAGTGGAATCAATTGCTAAGTCTGTAATGAGGAAAGTTGGTTGACTGTCTCCTGCTAGACAAATTTTTGGCACAATTCCTTGTACATTTATAAGTCTATCATTTGTCCATGCACTAAATACTGCTGCTATATCTGGTTTGGTGCTTCTGCTATATATTTAGAGATTCTTCATAAAATCCAAAGAATCTGCAATGTTTTTGATCTTGACCTGTCACCTCATCTTCAGTCACTTTTCTACAGCATAGATTCCCATTGCCTCTTGTATATATATTTTCAAGATAAGATGAGCTTTCTTTATTTTTCCCAAAATTTAAGTACAGTACTAGATTGGCAGCTTGGTCTCATTATTTCACAGTTGATTTTGCATTTCTATCATCTTCCATGTAATGACTCGCATGTTTACCACAACTTTATATAAATCAAAGTTAACTGGAATATTCTATGCTAACAGTTTCTTATTTACATTATTCGGACTATTATCCTCATCTTTGTTGCCATATTCATTACAACGTTCCGGCCCTTCAGTATCTGTCTATATTTCTGAGATGAGGTATTATGTACACTATTTACATTATTCGGACTATTCTCCCCATCTTTGTTGCCATATTTATTACAACGTTTCGGCCTTTCATTATCTGTCTATATTTCTTCACCCTTTATTTCACTCACTGGGGTAGACTGGGGTGAGCAAAATAAAGGGTTCAGTTCGACATTCCAACCACCTGAAGAAGGTCAGAACATACAACAGCCGAAACGTTGTAATAAATATGGCGACACAGATGAGGACAATAGTCCGAATAATGTAAATAGTGTACATAATATCTCATCTCAGAAATATAGACAGATACTGAAGGGCCGGAACGTTGTAATAAATATGGCAACAAAGATGAGGATAATAGTCCGAATAATGTAAATAGTGTACATAATACCTCATCTCAGAAATATAGACAGATACTAACAGTTTCTTCTCTTGCACTTTTTTTCTTATGGAACTCGCTTTCAAATTCAAAATAATTTATAAAGTGAGATAAATATTTAACCTCCACGGTGCA